AGGGCATCCCTGCAGAGGCCACTGGGCTGGCTGGACAGCTGAACCAGGAGTAGAAGGGTCTGGGGTGGCCGAGTCTTGAAAGGTGAGAGGCAGAGATGACAGTCCAGGATGGGGGAGCCGAGAGCTCGGGGACAGTACATGCTGGCTGTCCGAGCCTGAGGCCAGGCACACAGCGCAGGGCTCCGTCCTGCTCAGGGCAGCGGGTGTGGAGAGAGCGCTGAGTAGCAGGGCCAGGAGGAGAGGGGGTGGTGCACAGCTCTGCTCCGAGCTCCCTGCTGCCTTCCTCTGCCTGGCGGCTCCATTCTGACATCTACCAGGGCCTGACTCTGGGAAGCCCCTTCCTCTCCCTGGGCCTGTTTCTCCTCCAGTCTGACGGGGCAGGGCTCTCATGGCCCCTCTGGACTTCTCCCCTAGGCCAAAGACACCCCCCCCCAGCTCTCCCTAAACCACCCCATCCCTCCAAGACACACAGAGTCCAAAATAGGGCCACGGCGAGGGTCAGTGTTCCATTTCCATGAGGGCTCTCTGCTCCAGGAGGGAGGTCCAGGGAACACGGGCTGGGTGTCAGATCCCGTCCGGCTGGGTTGCCCTGGCTCCAGGCAGAGCTGATGCGCTGTCTGGGCCGGGCCTCCTCCCAAAGCCAGCAGTACAGCTGACTCCAGGCGGCCAGACATCCTGGCCAGGTTCTCTCTCCTGCCGAGCCAACACAGGGTAGTGGGTTTGGAGACACAGGGGTGGGAGGCCAGTCATCCAGCCCCCGGCCTGCCCTCCCTCTGGCCCTGTGTGGGTGGGGGCGGGACTGGGGTCTGCACGCCCACCTGGGGCTGAGCCTGCCTCCCCAGGATGCAGCCCCAGGTGCTGGGCCAGCAGAGGCAGCGACATCCAGTGGAGTCAGGCCTCTGCCACGGGCTGCAGCTCTGGGCAGCTTCGGGGGAGGGCAGTCTGCAGGATGGCCCTCCCCCCAGCTAGTCTTCGCAGGTCTGAACTCCCCAGGACAGGGCCTTTTGTGTTCCTGGGTGGGGGCCAGATTCAGTAACGATGCTGCTCTCTGGTCGCATAGGCCACTCTGGCTTTATTATCAGCAGGGAGGTCCCCATACATCTGAGCCCGCAGCTGCTCATGGCCGCCCTCCCTCCCATGGTGCAGGCAGGTGGTCGAGCCCGGGTCTCCCCTCCTCGTCCCCACAGTGCGCGCGAGGCCTGCTGGAGCCTGGGCCCAGTGGTGACCTCAGCCGTGGCATGGTTCCTTCCCCAGCTGGACCTGTACGCGGGGGCCCTGTTCGTGCACATCTGCCTGGGCTGGAACTTCTACCTGTCCACCATCCTCACGCTCATCATCACTGCCCTGTATACCATCGCAGGTACGGCCCTGGCCGGGCCCGCCAGGACCCAGTGACCGGGCTCCTCCTGGAAGCCGGCTGCTAGCCTGGAGGGGCGGAGGACTGGGCAGGAACCGGGGCACAGGCTGGGGAGTGGCAGTTGCAGAGCCTGGCTCTCCTGCCTGGCTCGTCCAGGCGGCAGGCAAGCCCAGTGAGTGCTTGCCCTGCAGGGGGCCTGGCCGCGGTGATATACACAGACGCGCTGCAGACGCTCATCATGGTGGTCGGAGCTGTCATCCTGGCGGTCAAAGGTGAGGGCAGGGCCCGGGCATGGGTGGGCTTGCCAGCACCCTGCAGGGCGCATGCGCTCCAGACCCCCAGCAGCGTGGGCTCAGGTGGAACCCCGGGTGACCAGCCCCTGCTGGCCTCCTCCACCCTGCTGCCGTGTTGTCCCAGCGTCGGGTCTGGGTGGCTGACTCAGGAACACAGGCGGCCACGCCCACCTGGCCAGAGCTTGCTGAGGTGGGGCTGCAGGTGGGTGTGGGGCACAAGGTCAGGCCTGGAAGCTGCCCAGGCGGCGCCTCCAACTGTTAAAACCATGTAGAGAATCTTAAGAGGCGATGGTACCTCCTGTAGACAAAGCGGGGCAGCCACGAGTTCACAGACTGGCCACGCTAGTCTGGGGACAGACAGGACATTCACAGGGCGCCCGGGAGGCAGAGGACTCCCGTTCAGGAAGTGTGCGAGCAGAGCCGGGAGACTCCCGCAGGAAGTGAAAGGAGGGGAGTGACCACGGCGTGGGTAAAACCAGGGATGGGCCAGGTCCGGGCTGTGCGGGGCCCTGACTGCGAGGTGGACAGAAGACAGAGGCTGGGACAAGGTCTGGACTCCAGAGGAAAGCCCCCTGGGCTGGAACCCCGCCCATGGCTGCGTGGCCTCGGTGGAGCCCCTGCCCCTCCCTGGGCCCCCACCTCCCCACCGCTGGCCATCCTCAGCTCTGCTGAAATCACACCTTTCTGGAGCCCGGGTCAGGACTTTAACACCTCAGGGAGCCCTTGAGTGCCAAGAGAAATATTTTGCTTCCTCGAACCAGCAGTCGAAACCCTGGCAGAAAAGTCCTGCCCGAGGCCAGTGGGCGGCAGAGGCCAGCCGTGATTCCCGCTGGGCCAGAGGACACTAGCGTGCCCGTGTGCAAAGTGCTCCTTTGACAGCATTATTTTAAATAAAAATAAAATAGTCATGCGATCTCACCCCCTTTTTAAACCCTTTATACTCTCCACACCTTTCCAGACTTGGAAAGGTGAGGGGAAGACTCAAGTTTGTGGCACCATTAGTTACTGCGAGATGAGGGTGGTGGGAGCCAGGGGGCCAGGCTCACCCACTGTCAAACCATTCCTGTCCCACCAACCCCAGCTTTCGACCAGATCGGCGGTTACGGGCAGCTGGAGGCCGCCTATGCCCGGGCTGTGCCTGCCAGGACCATCGCCAACACCACCTGCCACCTGCCACGTGCAGATGCCATGCACATGTTCCGAGACCCCTACACAGGGGACCTCCCGTGGACCGGGATGACCTTCGGCCTGACCATCATGGCCGCCTGGTACTGGTGCACTGACCAGGTGAGAGCCAGTGGGCCCTGCCCCCCGTCCCTCAGGTGTCTCCGGTGGGCCTGGGTGGCCCATCAGCCACCCTACACCCCGGCTCTCTGGACAAGTTAGCACTGGGCGCACTCCTCGGTGGGGGCGAGGGTCCCGGCTGGGACGGGCTGCTAGGGTTCCTTGCGGTCCCGGGGGCCCTGGGCCCTCCGTTTGGAGTCAGAGGCCCACTGGCTGCCACCCGTCCTGTCCTTGAGGTGCTTGGCCTGGGACAGTTTGGAGTACGGGATTCCAAAGGGACTCGAATGCCCCTCGCTGGCCCTGCGGTCGGCCAGTGGGCGGGCGTTCCGGGTGGGCCTTGGGCTCCCAGGCTCTGGCAGCGTGCGGGGCACGGGGCCTGCCTTGGCCTGCCAGTGGAGAGAGGGCGGGTGAGAGTGAGGGTCCTGTGGGCGGGGAGCATAGCACGGTGGGCCCGCACTGGCCGTCAGCTCTGTTGCTGTCTCTGTGTGCAGGGCCGCTCCCTCTGTGGCTTAAATCCTCCTTGCTGCCCCTTTCTGTAAGCAGGGCTGACATGGTTGGGCAAGGGCCAGGCGGGGCTGCAAGAGGCAGCGCTGGGATTTTTTCATGCATTTGCTGGAGGAAGTCAGAGAGGGAGAGAGAGAGCCAGAGAGACATCACCCCCAGTGGGGATGGCCACGCCACAATTCCGTCTCCTCCATCCTCTTGGGATCTTGGGCACGCATGCACACACCCACCCCGAGTGTTTTTCAAGACGCCAGGTCCAGGATGCAAACCATACAGACAGCCCTGTGGGAGCCAGCTGCCCTAACCACCATGCCACTGGCTGGCCCATTGCCAGGGGGCACTTGGGTCCTCCTTCATGGCACGACCTCTCTAGCTGACTCTAGATAAGCCACTTCCCCCCTGGACCCGCCCTGTGGGTCCCGGCAGCCCAGGGAAGCACGCGACGTGGGGGAAGGACTAGGCCTAGTGTACAGCAGCACTCGGAGGGCGAG